AGAAAGTGACAGAGCTGTAACAAAAGACTTCTCACATTCCTGTTGTGCCCGTTGGAAATTCAGACTGATTTCCAGGTGGCTATTTCCAGATTATTTCAGTAAGGCATCATCTAACTCAGGGGTGTCAAACTCATTTTCATTGGAGGACCACATCAGCCTCCTGGTTGCCTTCAAAGACGCAAATGTAATTCAGGACTTTATAAATGTAACCACTCCTTAACAGTTAAGCAAGAGCTTGGCGCTGCCACCGGGTAGAAACGAGGTGCTGGGTTGGATAAAACAAGGTGGAGGCCGGATTCGGCCTTGTTTGCCACCTGTGATTTAAGTCCATGAGCCCCCTGTTGTTTACACGTGGGTTTTCCGGACTGCTTAACTCCAGCCACTCCATAGGAGCAGCAATTTCTTTATTCGGGCTCTGCTGGCCCTGCTTCACCTTCTCCCACCCTTTTGCCTATAGTTGAAGTAAATTCTTTCAGACCACCTCTTTCTTCCTTCTTCCCCCACCCCCCTAGTAGTTTAGGTTCCATGCCCAAGACCAGACTTTTGGCTAGTGTTTTTGGCTCAATGAAGCCCAAGATTTTAAAGTTTAATACAGGAAAACCTGCAGATACCATGTGCAGGTCTCCAGCAATTTCACCCAGGCAATTTTTTTTACCATGATAACAATAATCAAATGCTAATGTAAGACCCATTATGTGTAAGCTGCTAATAATGAAGTAGTTAACAAATTAACTTCTGAGCTTTTAAAATGGTAGTGGCTCCAAAGTTTAAGAAATTCTCAAAGCTAAGTTTAAATTTGAACTTGTCATTCTAATTGTCGATGTTTTTTCCTGGTCATCCATCAATGTTTTGGTTGGTTCTATTTCTCAAGAATGAATACTAGTAGTCTGGTCATTTATTGTGAAAGAGGAATACTACTTGTCCTGCATCAGTCCTCTTTACTTTTGGACTGAAATCTGCAATTTGAAAATCACAGCTTTAGAAGATGCACAAATCAATCACCTTTCACTGAAGAGGAAAGGCCCAGAAAACTGAAAACATCAGTTGAATAGTGATTGTTTACTTAACTCTAAGAAGATCACAGGGGAAAGTTTAAGACTCAGGACATGAAAAAATGTAATAGCACTCTACCCCCCAAAAGAGGTTTTTGTTCTGGCAGTTAATAATCATCACCACTGTTAATCACTAGTTCCCTCCATACACAACTCTGCACTGAGTGCATATAATTTATATACATATAGGCACATAAAATATAATATACATATATAATTATATACTTGTTATATTTTTAATATGTAAATTTATATTTTTCCAGGTCATTCTTATAGTCTGTCAAAATAAAAAAGTGTTAGATGCAAAACATAGGTCAGCTGGCTCCACAGTCTAATTTATAAACTATTCCAAAAGAAGAGGAGTTTCCAACTCTGGCTGTGCATCAAAAATCCTCTGTAGAGCCCTAGCTGCTGTAGCTCAATGCACTGCGTGCCGACCTGAGAATCAAAGGGTCACCCTTTGAATTCCCAATCTAGGGCACATGCCTGGGTTGCAGGACAGATGCCCAGTAGGGGGCATGCAAGAGGCAACCACACATTGATCTTCCCTCTCTCCCTCCCTTCCCCTCTCTAAAATAAATAAAATCTTTTTTTTTTAAAAGTCTTCTTTGGAGTTAAAACAAAACAAGCAAATAATAAAGTGCTTCCCCACAGAGATTTTTAAAGTTAAACTAGCAAATATTATAGAGAGATATATTTTGTAAACAATGTATCAAGTACCATATATTATGTCAGGAAAGATCTTTTTAGACAGTAGATACTATTTTGTGCTTCGGACTTAAAATTCCTTGTTTAAATGAATGATTGCTTTGGTTAATAAACAACTGACTTTACTTGGAAAACTTACATTTCTCATTATACACTAGAATTTAATATAAAGCAGTTTTATCTTAGGTTTAATAACTAAATTCCATTAACAATTTAACCGCTGACATGTCACAAAGGATCTTAACATAACGTAGCCTAAATGACATAGGTTTTAGACTGCACCAATGCATTCTATTAAATCTATCTATTCATGATTTAAACCTCTACCTTCCCCAAATATTTTTCTTCATTATTTAAAAGATCAAGAATTCTTAACCTGATGTGACAACAATGAATTCAGCATTCTCCCTGGGTTGATTCACTTCTACCACCCTTAAGAAATTATTTACTGGCAAGCACACAATACAAAATTAAGTTAGGTTTCAAATAATTAAGAAATGATTTTGCTTACATCATTCAAATAAAATATTATTAACATAAAAAAAAAAACTAAACAATTTTTGATGGTTAAGTGGGTAATACAAAGCCAGGAATTACCACTACTAGCGACCACAAATAATAGCAGGACTACACACCACAAACACATGAATGATTTGCTGTATATAATCCCACTATTAATAAATAATTACTCATTTTCCTCTCAGTAAAAATTCTTTGTAAAAGGCTTCCAGCCAAGACAGAGGTGTAGGCAGATACACTGTACCTCCTCACACAACCAAGAGAAGGACAACAAATTTAAAAACAAAAACAACCAGAAATGCCAGAAAATCGAACTGTAGGGAAGTTCAACAACCAAGGAGTTAAACATTCATGGGGGGGTGGGCAGGTGGAGATGGGCAGCTCTGGCAGAGAGAAGGCAGAGAGGATGCGCAGGGCAGCATGGCAGCAGCTGGAAGACCTGGAGGCCCCAAATTTGCATTGGATAAACCAGGAGGAAAAAATGAGAGGAACAACTAGGGGGTGAGACAGGCCACACAACCCAGGGTTCCAGCTTGGGGAAATAAAGCCTCAAACCTGTGACTGAAAACACCTCTGGGGGCTGAGGTGGCAGGAAAAACTCCCAGCCTCACAGGAAAGTTCATCGGAGAGAGTTCATTGGAGATGGGTCTCACGTCCTAGAATGTACACAAGCCCACCCACCAGGAAATCAGCACCAGAAGGGCCCAATTTGCTTGTGGCCCTTCCAGGGGAAGTGACTGAAATCCGGCAGAGAGTAGAGCAAGCGCCAGTGTTCCCTCTCAGACCCCTACCCCGCATACAGTGTCACAACACAGCTACGTGGGTAGTCCCGCCCTGGTGAATAACTAAGGCTCTGCCCCTAACAACGTAACAGGAGCACAGAGACAAAAAATATGGCCCAAATGAAAGAACAGATCAAAGCTCCAGAAAAAGAACTAAACAGTGAAGAGAAAGCAAACCTACCAGACACAGAGTCCAAAACACTGGCAATCAGGATGCTCACAGAAATGGTTGAGTACAGCTGCAAAATACAGAAAGAAGTGAAGGCTAAGAAAAGCAAAATAAAGGAAAATATACAGGGAACCAACAGTGAAGGGAAAGAAAATGGGACTCAAATCAACAATTTGAAGCAGAAGGAAGAAATAAACATTCAACCAGAACAGAATGAAGAAATAAGAATTCAAAAAAAAAATGAGGAGAAGTTTAGGAACCTCTGGGACAACTTTAAACATTCCAACATCCTAATCATAGGGGTGCCAGAAGGAGAAGAGGGAGAGCAATAAATTGAACATTTGAAAAAATAATGAAGGGGAACTTCTCCAATCTGGCAAAGGAAATAGACTTCCAGGAAGTCCACGAAACTCAGAGAGTCCCAAAGAAGTTGGACCCTAGGATGCACACACCAGGCACATCATAATTACATTACCCAAGATGAAAAATAAGGAGAGAATCTTAAAAGCAGCAACAGAAAAGGAGACAGTTTGCCTACAAAGGAGTTCCCATAAGACTGTCAGCTGATTTCTCAAAAGAAACCCTGCAAGCAAGAAGGGGCTGGAAAGAAGTATTAGAAGTCATGAAAGGCAAGGGCCTACATCCAAGATTACTCTATCCAGCAAAACTTTCATTTAGAATGGAAGGGCAAATAAAGTGCTTCCTAGATAAGGTCAAGTTCAAGGAGTTCATCACCAAGCCCTTATTATAATGAAATGTGAAAGGGACTTGTCTAAGAAAAAGAAGATGATTGAAAATATGAACAGTAAAATGACAACAAACTCAAAACTACCAACAACTGAACCTAAAAACCAAAATAAACAAAAAAACCCACCCACAAATACAAACTAAGCAAGCAACTAGAACAAGAACAGAATCACTGAAATGGAGATCATATAAAGGGCTGGAGTAGGGAGGAGGGCAGAGAATGATGGAAAAGGTACAGGGACTAAGAAGCATTAAGGGTAGGTACAGAATAGACAAATGGAGGTTAAGAACAGTATGGGAAACGAAGAAGCAAAGAACTTACATGTATGACCCACAGACATGAACTAAGGTGGGGGAATGCTGGTGGGAGGCGGGGTACAGGGCAGAGGGGAATAATGGGGAGGAAAAATATGGGACAACTGTAATAGCATAATCGATAAAATATATTTAGAAAAACTCTTTGTAAAAGACAAAGCAATCACAAACTTTAAATGGTCAAGTAAGAATCAGTTTGTTTAGTAAAATTAATGCCCTAATTGAAGGATTCGTCCAACCATTTCCTATTCAGGCCACCATGACTTAATAGCACTGCAGAGAAACGAGTCTATGACTTAAACCAGACTCGTACAGGAATAATCCCTCAATTATTTGGTTGAAGAACTTACAGCTTATTACTATTAAAATCTAGGGTGGGGGAATTACTAATTACTATTTAAAATTTAATAATTTTAAAGTATTAAAATTAATTTAATTAATTTTACCAATAGTAATTAATATTACTATTAATTACTATTAATATCCACACCAGTGTCTTCTCTAACCATATCTCAAAAACAAAAAAAATTCATTCTTCAATCTTATGACATACAGCTTTTTTAACACAAATACTAGTGCTATAAATCCATAACCACATCTGCAATCTAAGTACTAGAATATCTTAAAATATGATATATTTAAATATAGACTCATGAATGCTCATTCTATCCAAGACCTTTGGGCCACTGGGAGATTTCCAAAGCATACCTTTTAATCCATGCCATGGCACTTCAAGAACATGTTAAGGTAAGTCACAGCCCGGAACACTTCGATGCCCCTCAAAACACCTCAGCCAGTGCATCTGTATGATTCTCTTTTCCTTTTGAGATCATAATGGTTCCGAGGAACTACAATGCTTCCATTTGAATGACAGTCTCATAATTTCAATGACTTAAAAACAAAAACAAAAAATAAGGACTTAAATGTAGGTAGGTTAAGCCACTTGTACACTGTATTAACTGCGGCCACTACAATTATGTGACACTCATTTCGTGTGAACCCTGCATGAATGAGAAGTACAATTCTCAGCAGTCAGTGACGGCCCTTTGCTTTGTTGAGATCTACCAAACCCCACAAATCTCTGACCCAATTCATTCTTTAGTTTTCTTTTCAAGGAATGAAAAATAACCTAAAAGACAGGCAGAGGCCAGGTCCACCTCTGATTAACCAATTATTCTATTCTGTGTTCAATGAGAGCGGGAAACTAACCACACACCTGTATAAAATGGAATTTGCTAATAGATACATCAGGGGTTCCTTCAAACAATGACCCTCCTGGCATTCATATCACTGAATCATTTTAATCACATGGAAATCGTTAAATTAATTAGAGCTCCCATTTCTAAAGTATACCTCTATGTAGAGCATGCATATTAATGAACAGACAGGTGGCTCACTATCAAGTTTTACTGCTGCACTGTGATTGTCTTGGCAGGTTCCTCCTCACCCCACCCACCTTTCTTACATAAAAACATTAAAAACATTTTATTACTAAAATGATACAGTAAGAAATTTTTGTATTACATTTTAAACCTAAGAATTCACTTTTTAAAAAATTAATTTTATTTATCTTTAGAGGTGAAGGGAAGGAGAGAGGGAGAGAAATATCAATGTATGGTTGCCTCCCGTGTGTCCCCTGCTGGGAACTGGCCTGCAACCCAGGCATGTGCCCTGACTGGGAATCGAACCGTGGTTGCTTGGTTCCCAGGCTCGCGCTCAATCCACTGAGCTACGCCAGCCAGGGCTAAGAATTCACTTTTGCTTCAAGTTTGGCATTCTATAGTTAAAAGAATATTCAAGCTATATGAATATAAAACTAACTTAAATGATCAATGATACACATATATTTGTGTCATAAAGCAATTAAAATTACTTTAGGATGACTGATCAGGAAATTTTTAATAAAAGCAAACTATAAAAAGGGTTTTCAAGAAAAGAGAAAGCATGGAGAAGTTCTGTTACACCCAGGGTTTAGGAACACCTCATATAAAGATTACCAGACAGGAAACAAAAGATGACAAAGGCCCAGCTAGAAGCTAAAAAGTATGTGCTAAGGAGAAAGTTAAACTGTTCTGTGTTTGAAAGTTCACTGCCAGAAAAATTACATATGCCAGAGATTTAGGTCTATTTTAGGTTGTGGAGAATGCAGGTTACAAAATGCAGGTCACCCTTTAAAAAGCTGATGATAATGGCAGATTGCATATAGGTAAGAACTCTATGAGAGCAGGTGGGGAGAAGCTAGGGAACAGAAACAAGGGCCCTAGCCCAATGAAATCACTGCGGCCACAGCATCTTTTTGAACTGATCATTTTACCACATTCGTGCAACGCCCTGAGTTCCCACTGCAGCTCTAAACCACTGAATGCCTCTGTATTACATACACACTTCCTGGAAGGACATCCACGTTATTTTCTATACTCTGTGCCCCCCAAATAAACAAACGCCTCCTACACAGTACCATCAGGTTAATGTTCCTTGAGTGGTTTCAAATAAGAATGTTAACCACGGGGAAATCAGGTGGGATATAAATATGTTAGATAATAACAAAAGTCTAAGTATGACATACTTATTAACTCATTTAACTTTCAGAAGCCCAGTTTACAGAGAAAACTGAAGTTCTCTTGTTAAGTGATTGGACCCAAGAACATATGCAGTAAGGGAAAAGAACTGAAACTTAAATCTACGATATTGTTGAAGAGCACCCTTAGGGGACAGGGGTGGCACTGGGGCTAAACTAACATTTGTTGACCACATGCCAAGTACCATGGTAACCACTTGATGCTATTTTATTTCATCCTGATCTACCATTCATAAGACTGATAAGTAGTTGCCTCCTTTTATAGGTGAGTAGATTGAGGCTCACTCAGAGAGATTTAAGTGATCTACTCAACATCACACATCAGAGATTGAAAATGATGGCCAGACAGTTAATCTCACATGTCCAACTCTAAAACCCACACTCATGTTGCTAATGCCAACCTATCCTCCAGAAGCAATCAGGAAAAAAAAGTCCAACACTTAAGTTTACTTTCAACCTGGTGATACAACAATAGTCTAACATTATAAACACTTCTTACTCAAACCTCAGACACTGCATATAAACAAAATTTTAGCTATGGTTTAGCAACAGACTATATACACATTTACAAAAGTCTGTAAAAAGGATCAGAATTATAGTTAATCACTCAAATCAGAAACTTAATTTGATTCCTAAAAATGAAATCCAGTTTTTTCATAAAGCTATGGACTTGAAAATCTTTTAAAACTGACTTGGAATTCATAGTACTGCCAAATTTCCCAATTTGGTTGGTCCTATCCCATGGACTGCTACCAGTCTGAGCCTAGTGGGAAAAGTCATTTATTAGATGAGAGAGGTGAGGCCATTCAGTCAGATTATCGGTAATAAAAATGACCAAAAACAGTACCCCCAGCCAGTGTGGCTCAGTTGGTTGGGCATCAGCCTATAAACCAAAAAGATTCCCCAGTTCAATTCACGGTCAGAGCACATGCCTGGGTTGCAGGTTTGTCCAGGTTGGGGCGCATATGGGGAACAACCAATTGATGGCTGTCTCTCACATCAATGTTTTCCTCTGTCTCTCTCCCACCTTTTCCTCTCCCTCTAAAATCAAAAATAAAAATTAAAAGGGTAGATGGACAGCTCTCTACAATGCTTTAAAACATGGTTAAACTAAAAGTAATATCTAAAAGCACTAGGAAAAATCCCTCAAATTGAGGACAGGAAACTCCTAAGCAACTTCAAGATTTAAATGAGAAACCACATGCTCATACTGCATTCCAGAAGTAACTGAAGAGGGATCAACAGAACTACTATACCAATGTACTGAAACGTGTTAGATGAATCAAAGAAACCACTTTTTAAATTTCTGAAACAAAATACTGCAGAATTACATTCAAGGGTTCAAAGCTGCTACAGTAAAAAAATTAACCAGTCACTTAAAAATATCTTCATCAGCCCTGGCTGGTGTGGCAAACCAGCCTGAAAACCAAAGGGTCCCCGGTTTGATTACCAGTCTAGGGCACATGACTGGGGTGTGGGCCAGGTCCCCAGAGCAGGGGTGCATGAGAGGCAACCACACATTGATGTTTCCTTCTCTTTCTCTCTCCTATACCCTCTCTAAAAATAAATAAAAATTTAAAAATAAATAAATAACTAAAAATGTCTTCATCAGTAAAAGCGTAACTATTCTGTATAACTCACTTTACAAACATTAATACCCAAACAGATTTACAGGTGAGGTGATACAGAAATTTTCCAGCTTTTACAATATACCTAGGTGAACTTACTCCTGAAGAAATTAAGTTTTGATAAGGGATGCACACGAAATGAACAAGTACGAAAGAATATAGGTTGCTGGGTTTGGTTTAAAAGGACAATTGTATTTCCACAGTGTTTTTCCCTGACCCCGCTTCTGGTCTCCCCCTACCCATACAGATACGACAGGTGTTCTGGCACACCAGACTTCGTACGTTTCTCAGAACACAGCACGGTGTTTCAGATCTCTGGACCACTCACTACACATGCTACTTCAAGAGCAGTGGGTGAAGCAGAATTGAACATCACAAGATAATATTTAAAAGAATAATATAAATAATAAAAATATAATATAAAAAGCACTAAGGAGAAAATAATTATGTCAGACTAAAAGTAAAAAACAAAAACTTTTAATATTTTCAATGCCTGCAATGTATTACATACTACTAGCTAAGCCAAGTTGGTGTTTTTACATAAATCTGACTCACTGTATGTAAGAAATTTCTGAAAGGAAAAAAACACTGACACTAAGTTGATGAGGCAGCTTTTAAATTAGATATTATAATTTAGGGGATGTGTCTTACTACAGACACTTGAATTTTAAACAAGTTTTGTCAACCAAGTACTTGGAAACAGTCTTGTTATATAATGACAGAAAATTAACTACTGCTATTATCAAAAGTATAAAAATGACATTCTAGAGATTCCAACTCTAGTTTATGCCAACGCTAATAATGATTTCAAATATAAAGCTAAACCTGGTTTTGAGTAACTTTCAAAGAACCTTTCCAAGAATCATAAACTACTCAAATTCCCATCTTGATAGTAAAACTACAATTCCTTCCCCCAAGAAACTCTGGGGTAAGGGAATGCCAAGCACCTACAGCTGAGAGACTGACCTCAGTATCGATGAGACCCAGTAACTAAAAGATACTTATAACCTAGCAATTCTGGAAGAGAAAATATTCATCTAATTTTACTTTGAGGAACTCCCAAATGGAGAAGCTCTTTTCTTAAGAGCTTCTAATGTATATCCTAATTTTCAGTAACATTAAAAAAAGTTCTATTAAAGTGCCTACTCTTAAAGTAGCCAACACCCAGGGTTCAACTGGGAGACACCTGAATTTTTTTTGTTATAATTCTAGATGGCACAGTATGAACAGGTATAATTTAAACATAAATACACACATGCATAAATGCACAAGCACACACAGCCAACCCCCCATTATCCTTTTTCAAATGAATTAATGTATCTGCTTGGTGACCAAAGGTGGGGGATGGGGACAGAAGAAAAGAAGAAGAAGAGCAGCAGTCCAAAAGTACTGAATAAAGAATGTTAGGGAAGGAAAAGTAATAAAGTAAATCAGCTCACTCATAAACACTACTATGCATTTATTCCAAACATGCAAATCAAAAGAAGCTTCTTTCCTTTCTAGAATGAGAAGAAAAAACACTAAAGAGCATAAATTGAACTTACCTCCATTTCCACTGTAATTATTATGTATATGTTTATTAAAATGTTTATGGGTAAATTGAGTTTCTCCCTATCATTCTCTTTCTCCTTTCACTTAAAATAAAATGTAAATTTTGGTGGCTTAAAAGATTATGTGGTCATGAG